CACCAGAAAGCAGGGGAACTATCTGTATAGAGTAAAATATGTTTATATAAAATGATAACATGAGGAAGTGACACATGGAGCCGAACACAGAAGATAGTTGAATGCGAAGACAACGATCCCATCTGTTACCAGAGAGAATGATACTCATAAAGATGAAATACATGCCTTTTACCCCGGTAGCATTTAATGAGGAATATTCTACAGCATTAAGTACACGGCTCGTTACAAGGAATATGGCATTCACTGCTTGTTAAGTTTAACAACATACTCAATGGTCCTCATAATTGACATTAAAGATGGTGTTGATCCTAGGACCGTGTTCCCTAGGTACAATTATAAATAGTGAGCTTTATTACCATTGTAGGTGACAAAAAAATTCTGCCAAACATACGCTACATTTTATTCAAAGCTCAATATAATTTTATCTTCTTGTTTATCGATATCGTTGCTATTGTCCCCGGAGACATAAACTATGTATAAATTTAACTGTACCATTTTACGGGTAAACAAACTTCAAAGTACTAATAATTACCTATTGAAGCTGAATACGCACACATATGTAATGCAAATATACTTATCATGATTTCTAGCTCCACCCCTATTCATTAAAACAGCTTACTTCGTTATAAAATCTTCCGATGGGTGTTTGGGATTGGTTTTGGGGGGGGGGGGGGGGGGGGGGGGGGGGGGGGGGGGGGGGGGAGGATGGGATTAAAGATATCTATTAACACAGTACCCATGCAAATATTTAAAAGTCGAAACGAGATAAAAAGGGAACTTATCAACAAATTCATGAGCATTATCTAAATCCTCTGACGTTCAAGGGGAAAGCAAGGTGATGCCAATAAACTTAAAACAAGGGCTTCGTTCCATTTAATATAGCGAGCAAATAGAAAAGAAAATCCATTTCCGAGGTTATAGAGAAAACCTTAGCATACATGATTTATGGTAAATGAGCTAGCAACAATTTCTAACTTGCTTCAAGCTGTGCCATCTCGAAACATTTACTTCTCCACAGTAGTTAGCATGTTCATCATATGCATCCTGTTTTTGGTCAGGCAAACAGAACAGAAAACACATGTAGCAAAACAACCATGACTAGAAACTGAAATACCAGACAAACCTTTGATGTCATTAGTTCAAAGTACAAGGCACAATCAAAAGCATAAGTAGGATACATGAAGGCTCCATACCGATGCTTTTCCATAATAAATTACTTTCTAGTAAGGGGGGTTGGGGCAACTATGGGCACCCAAAAAAGTCCAAGCCCTAAATAGAAGCAGAGAGTACAACATAATAGAAGCATAGAGTACAACATCAATCTCCAAGTAGTGGTACCGACCTACATGTAGGGGTACAACTTACTCAAGGAGAGGATTAAGGACGGTACCTGCAAACAATAACGCGCCTGTTCCATCTTCTCTAATCAGAAAGAGAAACGGATGATCAGCAATGAAATCTACTTTCTCTCCTGAATAAGACCTTAGGCCAAACACAGCAGTGGTTGCAGCAGCAGCTTCTGTGCCCTCTTCATCTACCTCAATAACGGACTTATGAAAGATGCTAACAACACACACGCCCTTATTACAAATGGTCTCCACCATCTCGGTGAGATCATGGCCAGAGAAAGGCGATACCACGCGGAGCCCTTTCAGAACTTCAGAAGCTTCAAATCCAAAAAAAAAATTTAAATTTGGGGATACGAAATTCACCAACTCCAACCTTCGCATGTGGAAGGTGACGCTCCAAGAATTCGGAGTCTGAAGTGACTTTTTCCACCAGGCCTGGCAGGCCATCATTCGCATCAGGTAGAAAGAAATACATGGAGAAATGACGCCTATCCAAGCCATGTTTATAAGGAAGCCTCAACACCTTGAAGCCTTCATAAGCTTTTACATATCGCTTGCTCTGGCTAGTCATGAAGGGCACTTGAACGGAGGTCCCATTGAGAAGGTGGAACTCACAGTCCTTAGTCATTGATGCATTGAACTTATCACCCCAGACACCTTTGAAGTAAAGTGAGTTTGCAAAGACAAGTCTGGTTAAATGGTCAACTGCGTCAACAGGTAGAATTTCATTGACGAGACCGGCTGTCTCCTTTTCAGCTCATTGATTCACTTGATTGACCACCTCAAGAGGCTACATTACCATCAAAAATTTGTAAACCAAATATGTTTTTTCTTTAATAACCATTGTAAAACAAATATGGAGTATATGCAAAGGATTCTATTTAAGTTTCCTTTTTATTTATTTCTAACCTTTTTTTTCCTGACAGAGGGCAGAAGAACTATAGCATGCCTCCTAAGAAATGAATTTAAAACTTCTTCAATCTCCAGTGGCAATACATCAATATTTGAGACTATAGTGAATACTCAGAAGAACTATCAAAGCAAAAATTGCTAAGACCCTTAAAAAAGTCGAAGAGTATAGCATGTTTTCTAAGAAATGAATGTAAAACTCCTTCAATCTCCAGTGCATGTGGAGATAAATAAGCATAGTGAAAATATGTGAGACACCGTTCATTGGCATGCTGTTTATCGGAATTTGCACAAATTTAACCCCAGTGCTCATAGATCTATCCCCAGAGCTAAGCGAAATAAGGTAACACACAAAGATAAAGCCCAAAGTGCAACAATATTGAAACGCACCATCTCTGACCTACCTAAAAGCAGAAACGCAAATCCCTGAAGTAAAAAAAAAAAAAAAACATACTGAATTTCATATGTAAGACAAGGCTGTTTCTGTTGGCCCTATTGGTTAAAAGATGTTTCAGGTCCTAGCAATCCACAAGAACAAAAAAGCCAGGCTCCATAGGAGTAGGAAGAGTTCATAATGAAACTGTTACTTCTGGTGTCCTAGTTCACAATCCATTCACCATATTACCTGACCCAGCTAACTTGATAGTTCACAGAGCTGGAAAAATAAAATAATACTGCTACACAACTTAGCACATTATAGTATTTCAATTTAAGCTGCATACACATCCTAGGTGATTATCAGCTGCAAAATAAAGTAGGTAGAAAGTATTACAAATCCATGATACGTACTAAGTATTATAGGAAAACCAGGAAGGACAAAGAAAGAATTCACGCAATAGATTTCCTTATACAAAAACGATGCCATAAAGCAACCTCATAATTAAATCAACCAAGAATCAATCCCAAATTATTGGGTTAGAAATTCAAGAATCCTCTGTTCTAACCCATTTATTGTCTGTTCATTCAAATATTAAAAAGATCTGATTTTTACAAGCTTAGATACATTGACCCCTGCTCAAACATAGAGGAAGCTATTGTAAAAACAAAATACTAGTTGGCATCCCCTATACAATGAAGTTAATGCTTAAAATAGTAAAGCAGTTAGAGAATCATCTCCGATAGAGAAAACTTTTGTCTACCAACAAGCATCCTAAAACAGCAAAGACGAACTCTACTGAACTACCTAATCAATGGTAGGAGTATTAAAAAACTAACCTTGGACGCAAAATCAACAGAAAGAGAAGTAGCCTTGTAAACATTGTCCACAATCTGTGTGAAAGAAGGCTTCAAACTCGCACACTGATCGACCCAGACTCTGTTAGCAGCAGACAAACGAGGGCCACCATTGGGGCTACCATCAAGAAGGACACAGTCGACGAGCTGAGAAGAGAGATAGTTGATTCCAAACTAACGGTGGTGATCTTAGGCGAGAAGCAGTTGTGCTCTGCCGGAAAAATGATACTATGGAGACCGTAATAAACCGGGAAATGGAGATTTGTACTCTAGCTACAGTTTCATCTTTGAAGGTATCTCTTTCTATGTCTCGTTTGGTTCTATATTATGTGTGACCATCCTATACTTTTCATTTTAGTAAAAGTTTTTATTGGGAGGGGCAATGGTTGGTGAGGCATATAGAGGTTCAAACTCACTCGCTTTCTCTGCCCTATGCCCCTTGGTTAAAATTAAATTTTTCCAATTTCAAACTTGATTTCATATTATTTCGGGGAAGATGAATTCACTAATGGGACGGTGATAGATGCTTTGCATTTGCGGAAGGTGTAATCCTATTTTCTCTCCCTTTTGACATTTCCTTCCAATCTTATTACAACATGAAGGAAATAATTTGGTTAAAAATACTTCATATATCTGACTTCTGTTGTTTTTATTAGAGAATGATCACTTGTGTTTTTTTTTTGTTGTTGTTGTAATGATCACTCGTGTATTATGCACAATGTCAAACAATTTGTGATCTGTGATTACTCATGTCATGTTTTTACTTTGAAAAAGAAATTAGCATCAATGTTTCTAACTTATAGTGCGCCTAAATTGATTTATAAAATTATTCTACACCTGATACTTGCTTTGAAGAAAATCAACCTGTTTTCCCTTTCTGGTGCAGACTTAATTTCGCATGTTGATTTCAATTCACTCTATAAGTTTAGTTGCTTTTCTATCATGTATCAATTATGATGAAAATTAACAATTTGTTTTTTGTGACCAGTTATTCTACGGCAGAGAACTAGTTTCCTCTAGATTTATAGCACTACTAATTGGTGTAGAGTACCGAGATGCTATGCATAGGCTTTTAGGTTGTCATACTCATGTCAACATGATTCATCAAGACCTTTCATTTTTCTCCGACCTCTATACTTGTGCTCGCTGGTAGTAACTGACTTTCTAATTTTTAATTTGTTTTATATTCACATTAATTGAAAATTGCCTCAAAATTTCAAATTTCATGTGCAGATAATGGTGCAAATCCATTGCCAACAAGAGCAAATATGATTCGAGCATTCGACTGGCTTTTGCATGGCTGCAAGTCTGATGACCTGCATTTTCTTTTTTATGCCGGTCATGGAGATCAAGGGATCCCTTGGACTTCACCAACCCACCCTCACAGCACAGCCCAGCCCAGCCCGTCAATTGCTAAAGCCCGCGTGGGCTGGACTGGGCTAGCCCGGCCCCGCTCATATTGTCGGCTCTACTTTTCCAGAACCAATTTTTATGTTATGTTATAATATATGTTCTCTATAACAGCGCTTCGCTATAACATTCAAAAATATTTGGAATAAACGACGTTATAGAGAGATTTGATTGTATTTGATCAAATTCAGCCTCTCTATAAGTTACAGACTCCTAACCTCTAAAGCAAAATCTTATTACAAGCATTACCTCGTTGTTTGGGAAAGCCATGGTAAATCTAGAATGTTGCCACTAGAACAGCAATCCATTTATGCAAAAAGTTTTGCTCCTGTGGGAAGCGGCCTGACCAGCCACCTCTCATTGAGCTCGAAGTCATATATAGGACCTTCGATTATGAAGTCCAAGGGATTTATACTTTCACAAAACTCGTCCAATGAGTGCCCATTATCAAGTAGATGCTGATCTCCATGACCGGCATAAAAAAGAAAACGCATGTCATCAGACTTGCAGCCATGCAAAAGCCAGTCGAATGCTCGAATCATATTTGCTCTAGTTGGCAATGGATTTGCACCATTATCTGCACATGAAATTTGAAATTTTGAGACAATTTTCGATTAAATGTGAATATAAAACAAATTAAAAATTAGAAAGCCCAGTTACTACCAGTGAGCACAAGTATAGAGGTCGGAGAAAAATGAAAGATCTTGATCAATTGTTGATGAATCATGTTAACATAAGTATGACAACCTAAAAGCCTATGCATAGCATCTCGATACTCTACACCAATTAGTAGTGCTCTAAATCTAGAGGAAACTAGTCCTCTGCCGTAGAATAACTGGTCACAAAGAACAAATTGTTTATTTAACCCTTGCATTCATTTAAAAGCATTTTTATTTGGGGCCAGGCCCAAAATTACCTTTTCCATTCAGCAGCATATTGTTCTAGGAAGATCTCCATTTTCTGATCATCATCCATAACAACATCCAAAGCCCGTTTGGCCATACTTTTGCAGTTGACAAACCGCTGGGGTTTTATAACAGGTTCACCACTACATCATTGCTTCTTGAAAAAATCCCAAGGCGCATCTCATTATCCATAGCACCCATGTAGAGACCCTGTAACATAAACCACACATCGCATCTTAGCCACAGTCAACTCAACCAAGTCTCATCCCATTATCCCAGGATACTATTTTTGACTTATTCAAGTCTCTCATAAAAAGCCCTATGCCCCATGTTACATAACACAGTTTCTTCTTGGAGTTATCCTCAAACGTAACCTACACTCTCATAAGTAACAAACTTAAGCACAATTCAAAAGTCTCAAGAACTCATAAAGCTAAAAGTCAGACATGATGTTATACATAAATAAAGCACGAGCTGGAATAGAATGTAGTTTCACCCAATTCCAAGTAATTAGATACTTAAATCCATCTCACTTTATGTTATTAAGTTCAACTGTGTGTGAAGCATAAGGTGTTAATTTGACTCCTGTATTATATGCTCGTGATAAACAAAGTTAAGAAAGAGAAACGCAACAGCAAGGCTTGGTCACTCATTGAACCGGAAGTTCAAATATGGAAAACCGCTACTGAGACATTAGGGCATAAATTGTTTATGTCGATAAGCTGAATGCAGACCATTCGCGCTTTCCCTAGTTTTGAGTGTGGTGGTTGTAATAGGGAATCACAACGTCCACCCACCCCCCCCCCCCCCACACCCCCCCCCACACACACACACATATATATATATATATATATATATATATATATATATATTCTCAGTTGGGACCGTCACACCTCCTTTTTACTATCCGTAAGGGTATAAGGGAGTTTTTTCCAACTTAAAGTGACAATCGAAACGGGATTATTATATTATTATTCAGAGTCGCCCCTTGGGATAATTTATGGTATCCCAAGTCACCGGTTTAGAATCCCAAATCAAGGAAAGTTTGACTCTGTTTTACAGTCCGCGAAACACAGGAATCCGGGTAAGAAATTCTGCTAACCCGGGAGAAGGTGTTAGGCATTCCCGGGTTCCGTGGTTTTAGCATGGTCGCTCAACTGTTATTATTGGCCTATTATCTGATTTTGATACATGTTTTAGCCCATGGTATATTTTAACTCGTTAGCCGCTTTTAATTACTTTCAGGAAGATTCAACGTTATTTAAAACACGTCTTGAACCACGCCACATGAAATGCACCCACGGTCCACGACACATTTTATTTAACGTTGTTGAGATTTGAATTTGGGTCACATGAAATGCACACCCGAGTTTAAGGAGATTAATTTAAATTATGCGCCTAAAGCAACTACGATGTTTGAACTATTGCTAATGCAGACGATTATTGCTATGATAATATAGTGACTGATTACCAAGCAGAGACAACCAATGTTTCCATAAGCTAATCAGCAACTACACTTGGAACATAAAGCCCAGAATTCTCGTTCCTTCAACTTTGTTAAAATAATCAAGTGAGACAACGAAGGAAAGACATTCATTTTGAATGCATCAAATATTCAATATTCTGTCAAAATCTTCAATATTAACCAAAAGGAATTCAAGCAATAAAATGGTTGAAAAAGAACAACAAGAGATACGAATTTCCAGCAATTGAAATACCATTAAAACTCAACTTTCAAGTTAGTGCTTATATACCCAAATTCCCATACTAACACAGATTTGAACTAACATACACAAAGGCTCAAACTCATAAAACCAACTATAACTAATAATACAAAAAAAACTCAAAGCATACATACATAAAAAGTAAAACATTAAAGCAACAGTGACATGGATAGTGACATAAATCTGAAATGCTCGAATCATAGAGAAATGAATTGGAGTAGTGAAAAAAAGAAAGAGCCACCTTAATTGCTGAAAATCTTCAAAACGTGTACATCGCAAAAGAGTATCCAAAAATAGCAGTCCTCAACCGAGCTACGGACCATAAACTAGAACCGGAATCGCAACGCCGAACCACTCAACTCAACCAGATTTGGGATGGTGATTTCGGGCTGGTTTTTGCATTGGTTTTGAGGTGATCTTTTCGGTGGAATTTGCAGCGCCTCTCAGTTGTTGTTTCGGCTCTTTTCAGGGCTGATTCGGCAGCTGATTGCAACAGATTTCAACTGCGTTTTGGGGTGTCTCGAGGTTGGATTTGATTGCTGATTTTTGGGTGTTTACGGCTGAAAATGATGGAAGCTTAGCTGGTTTTGATGGCTTTTACATTGCTGATTTTTCAGCAACTATAGAAGGTTTTGTTGGTGGTGTTTGGAGTAAGTTGCAAGGGTGTTTTAAGCTGGAATTTGGGGCTGTTTCATGGTTGATTTTCGTAGCTTTTGGGGTTGAAATTTGGGCTGTAATGGAGTGTCTATGGCTGATCTTTGAATGAAGAAGGAGGCTCTCTATTTTTTGTGTGTATTTTCAGCTCTCCAATGTATTGCGGCGCTGATTCCTCCAGATTTTTAGGCGTTACTGAGTGTAGGTTAAGGTTATTTGTTGTATTTTCAGCTTATTGCTCTTAGGTCCTTAGCGTATTTTTATTTGTTTTTTGTTCCAAAGAACAGTTTAGAAGGTTTCCTAGAGTTAGCTTAATGGGTATTGGGCTTAATAAGCTAATCCGAATTAGGCCTAAAAATGGGTCACTTGAATCCAAATTTTATTCTTTTTTCGCGAATGAGCCTAAAAATACGATCTCATTTATTAATTAATCCTACTTAAATAAAATAACCATTAAAATAAGACTGGCCGTTAAAACAAAACTATTTTTGGTATTTTTCAAGATTAAAAGTGACTACAAAAACATTAATGAACCTATTTTTTTGTAATTTTTGTTTTCTTGTAATAACATAAAGTAAAAGAGTAAAAATGAGTTGAAATAGCAATATAGGCCTAAATTAAATATTTACGTGCTAAAATATGAAAAATCTTGGGGAGGGTCAAAAATTACATGTCTACAGCTGCCCCTCTTTGACTGGAAACGCGAAGAGTTTTCGGACAAAGAACGACTAGACAGGTTTTTTGACCCGACCCTTATTTAAGGAGACCAAAACTAAGAGAAAAGGGGAATGTGACCGAGCCCTGGTATCTGAGCTGCCTACATATCCTTGGCTATAAAGGAATCAGGCCACGTGTAGTTCAGAAGTGAGTGAGATGATAGAGTATACCGAGGTGGAGAGCCGATCGAGGTGCCATTCCGTCGAGGTTCCAGTCCGCGGTCCTGTTATTACATCAACATCAAAAAATGGAAAAAGACTGACTAAGCCTATCAACTACGAGTTACAAGATTCCTATCTATAAGTCTTCTGAAGCTTGATCTTGAGTCTTGAATGGTTCTTCATGCAGACTTTGGATTTGAACCTTGACGTTTGCTAGTTGCAGGTGCTAGTTCATTCTTCCTCAGCTTTTCTGATCAAAACCAGACATGCAGTGCTTGTGACCTCAGCCATGTCTTGAGCGGCTCACATCTTTCATCAACTTCTGCATTTGGATTCACTTCTTGCTATTTTTTTTTATTCTGGATTGTGACTAACTTCTGTTGGTCATCTCGGACTATTGACTCGCATTCTTGTCGCGAGCTTCTTTTATTGCTGGCTTGAATTGTAATCTGAGATGCTTTCCCTTTTCTCCAGGTGGGCGCCTGATTGCTGAACTTGAACCGTCTTCCTTTGACCACTGTTGCATTCCCTTTGTTCTCCAGGTAGGCTCCTGATTTCCAACATTTGAATTATCTTCCTTTCCTCCGAAACTTGCCTTGTTCTCCCTTTGTTCTCCAGGTGGGCGCCTGATTGTCGAACTTCCTTTGAACATTGTTGCTTTCCTTTGTTCTCCAGGCGGGCTCCTGATTGTTGTCTTCCTTTAAACATTGCTGCTTCCCTTCGTTCTCCAGGTGGGCTCCTGATTACCAACACTTGCGCTGATTTTCCTCAAAACTTGAAATGCCTCCCTTTGTTCTTCAGGTGGGCTCCTGATTGCTGAACTCCTTTGAACCTCGCTGCTTCCTTTCGTTCTCCAGGTGGGCTCCTGATTGTTGTATTCCTTTGAACATTGCTGCTTCCCTTCGTTCTCCAGGTGGGCTCCTGATTACTATCTTCCTTTGAACATTGCTGCTTCCCTTCGTTCTTCAGGTGGGCTCCTGATTACCAACACTTGAATTGCTGCTTCCCTTCGTTCTCCAGGCGGGCTCCTGACTACCAACACTTGGACTGCTTCCCTTCGTTCTCCAGGTGGGCTCCTGATTACCACACTTGCGCTACTTTCCTCGAACTTGACTGCTCCTTCGTTCTTCNGTAGCTCTGATTGCTGAACTCCTTTGAACCTTGCTGCTTTCTCTGTTCTTCAGGTGGGCTCCTGATTGCTGAACTCCTTTAAACCTTCACTACTACAAAAAAGACCTTTAGCGGCAATACAAAACGGCTTTAGAGGCAATAACAATAGCCGCTAAATCTTTTACCAGCCATTACGGTTTTGCCGCTGATGTTGGGGTCAACAAAGCCTTTAGCGGCTTTTCTCGCAAAAGCTGGTAAAGGGTATGATTTATTGCCGCTAAAAATTATTACCTTTAATGGCAATTGTTTGCGGCAATTATAATGGCTACTAAATCCGATCCAAAACGGCCAACTATACCTCTTTAGCATCTATTTTTATAGCCGCTAAATTCAAACTAATTGCCGCTAAAGGTTCGCATCTCTAACGGCAATTGTTTGTGGCTATTATAGTGGCTACTAAATCCAATCCAAGCGGCTAATTATACTTCTTTACCATCCATTTGTATAGCCGCTAACTTCAAAATAATTGCCGCTAAGGTTCGCATCTCTAACGGCAATTGGCAATTATATTGGCTACTAAATCCAATCCAAACGGCTAATTATACTTCTTTACCATCCATTTTTATAGCCGCTAAATTCAAAATGATTGTCGCTAAAAGTTCGCATCTTTAATGGCAATTATTCTATTGCAATTAAAAAGGCAATACTATCCCTTCTTAAAACATCTTAATTTGCCCTTTAGAGTCCATTTTAATAGCTAATAGTTTAACTAAATTGCTGCTAATAATCAATAGCTTTAAAAGTCATAAATGATAATAACAATAATTTGGCCACAATTAATAATATATAGTTACTACATTTGTATAGAATATGACCCAAATAATAAAATATATTAATATTAATTAAAAAAACATAATATATCTCATAAAATCTTAACAAACAAAAGAAAGTATTAATCAAAAATATTAATATCACAGTAACTTAAAACATAAAAATATATTGTTTGGACTAAATAGCAATGTCATCATTGTAATAATCCAGAATGATGGTCTTCAAATGATTTCCACAACTTTTCATCATTTTGAAATCTTTCAACCACTAAATTATCGAACACCAGACTGTATGACCTGAAATTATAAAATAATTGTGTTAAAGGATAAAGTATATACATGAAGTGCTGAAATAGGAGACTAGTTGTAACGACCCGACCGGTCGTTTTGAGCTCTAGCACGTCGTTCAGCAGTCCGAGGCCATAAACAGCTTCATTTCAGGTATTATGACTTGTACGCGTGGTCGGAATTAAGTTTCGGGGAAGTTCAGAGTTGATTTGGAAAGAGAATTCTCATTTCGGAAGCCTTAAGTTGAAAGAATTAACTAGGATTGGAATTTTGAGTAAACGACCTCGAAATCGGCATCCGAAGGTTCCAGCAGATTCGTATGATGATTTCGGACTTGGGCGTATGCCCAGATCAGGTTTTGGATGACCCGGGAGCGTTTTGGCGCCTATTGTGGAAAGTAGCATTTTGAAAGAAATTTCATAAGTTTGGGTTGGAGTGCATTTTAGTGATATCGATCTCTGTTTGGGAGTCCGAGTCTGGGAGCAGCTCCGTATGGTGATTCTGGAGTTGGGAGCGCGATCGGAAGTGAATTCGGAGGTCCGTAGGTCATTTTGGAGCCATTTGGCTAAAGATAGAAATTTGAAGGTTTTTGAGAAATTTGACCGGAAGTGGACTTTTTGATATCGGGGTCGGAATCCGATTCCGAAAGTTGGAGTAGGTCCGTAATGTCGAATATGACTTGCGTGCAAAATTTGAGGTCAATCGGACGTGATTTGATAGGTTTAAGCATCGAAAGTAGAAGTTGGGAGTTCTAAAGTTCATAAAGCTTGGATTAGGGATTGATTCATGATTTTAGCGTTGTTTGATGTGATTTGAGGCCTCGAGCAAGTCCGTAATGTGTTTTGGGACTGGTTGGTGTGATTGGTCGGGTTCCCGGGGGCCTCGGGTGGGTTTCGGGTTGTATCGCGCTCTTATTTGATGTTTGAACGTCGTTTCTTTGGACATAAAGGGGTGCCATATTAAGCAAATGAGCTCCAAATTAAGTTTTTATTGAGCCATTAGATCCGTATCGTAATTTCGGAGCCAAAGCAAAAAGAATCGTCGAATTTGGACATCGTATGAGGGAGTTATGCTCATTTCCGTATCGAGAAAAGTGTTGGTTGCTGTCATAACCGCAGATGCGGAATTGCGCGGTCAAATTTCCGCAGATGCAGAAATTGCTGGAGGCAGAGAGGTTTCTTTAATAATCGAAGTTTGGCTCATTTTCACTTTATTTCTTCCATGGGAGCCGATTTTGGAGCAACTTTGGAGTGCCATTTCCATCACCAAGCATGAGGTAAGTGATTTCTACTAGTTTTGAGTATATACAAGGTTTATATATGGATTTAGACTTGGAATATTGTAGAAAACATGAGGTTTGAGGGAAAACCTAGAAAACTAGTATTCTTGGATTTTGACCACGATTTTGGGCATGGAATTTAGAGAAAATCATATATTTTAGTTCGTGAGGCCATGGGTAATCTCTATCTTCGAAAAATTTTGGATTCCGGGCACGTGGGCCCGAGGGCATTTTTGTCAACTTTTCGATCGGGGTTAGGAATTGTTATAAATTGGATTATAATGAGTACCTTAGCATATATTAATGGATTTACATAATTATTGGCTAGTTTTGGAGCGTTGTGCATCGATTCGAGTCTTCGGAAGGGTGTGGAATGCCGGTTATCGACCTTCGGAGCGAGGTGAGTCTCCTTTCTAACCTTGTAAGAGGGAATTGTCCTCATAGGCGAATTAATTGGTTATGTGCTCCTATTTGTGGGGGCTACGCACGCACGAGGTGACGAGAGTCCGTGCGTAGCTACTATTATGCTATTGTCCGGGTAGTATAGGACCCAAAAGCATGCTATACTTGGATTAACTGTAACTTATTGACAGCTCGAATTGCTTAAACCACATCGAATTAATATATAAATTTCAAAAAGGATTAAACTTCTTTTCTTAAATTGTTAAAAGAGAAAGTGGCTTTTATTTGAATAAATATTCCCCGATAAATTCTTAATTGGCTATCTGAGCATGTATTTCTATGTGAACCTGCATCGCATGCATGATTCGCGAGCAGGGTGATTGTTTAATTTATGTTGATCGCGTCGCATGGATAGTTCGTGAGCGGGG